ATCTATATAGGTGGGATCAACATGATCCCAATAAAAATTCCAACCAACTTTCTTCTTTCTTCTGGTAGAAAACTATTCTAAAATATTTGTGGAAACACAGTCTCTGGAGTATCCAAAACACTTCAAAAAGCAGAACAAAGATGGAGTTTTCATTTTACCTATTTTCAAACCTTAATAAAAAAAAAAAGCTATAACCAGTATAGTTATAACAGTTTAAGAGAAGAAATACAGATTACTAGAAGAAAATTTAAAAATCCAAAATATGTAGTCAATTGATTTTTCAACGTAAGTACTACAGAAATTCAATGTAGAAAGCAGTAATCTTTCAAATGGTCCTAGAACAGCTGAACAGCCAAATGTTTTTAAAAAAAAAAAAAAGAAAGAAAGGAAAGGGATGAAAAAAAGCAGGTAGAGAAGCAGCTTCAATCTTAATCCAGCACCTCTGTTCAAAAATTACATAAAACATGGGCTAGGAGTATAGCTCCAGGGTACAGCACATGTCTAACATGTGCAAGGCCCTGAGTCCAATCCACATCATAGAGAGACAGTTAAGACAGAAAGAAAGACAAATGGATGGATGGATAGAAGGATATCACAGGCCTAAATGTAAAACCTAAAACTAAAAACTTCTGGAAACAAGCAGAGAAGAAAATTATTGCCACCTTAGAGTAGACAAAGTTCCTTTAGATATGATCCAAACAGTACAAATCATGAAAAAAAATTCTGATAAAGCAGATGCTATCAGAATTAAACATTTTTAGGAAGCAGGGTGTGGGTAGGTGCTGGAGTACTTGCTCAGTGAGTACAAGGCCCTGAGTTCAATCTCCAGCACCACAAAAAATAAATACTTTTGTTCTTCAAACAACATTATAAAATAAAAAGAGAAGTCACACAAGGGGAGAACATATTGTAAAATATATATCTGAAAAAAAGACTTGTATCCAAAGTACATAAAAACTCTTTAACGACCTGAAAAGTAAGTAAACCATCCACTTTTATAAAAGGCAAAAGTCCTAAGAAGAAATAAACTTCAAGGAAGAAATAAACATATGATAAGATACTCAACATTAATTATCAGAGAAATGCATATTAAAAATACAAAGAGACAACATGACCAAAGCAATCAAAACTGACAGCACCAAAACCTAGAAGTAGAACTATCTAAAACTACTGGTAGGAATTCACAATGGTACAGACTCTCTGGAAAACACCTTCATGATTTCTTATGTGTTTATTAAAAATGCACTTATTATATGAATACATACATACAGGATACAACAGAATATATACAAATAAAGACCTCTACATGAAAGTTTGTAACCACTTTTATTCATAATAGCTTCAAAATGTGAATAAAACCCAAGCTAATGAAAAATGCAACAAAGTGAATGACTCTCAAAAGCATTATAGCAAGCAATAAGAAGTCAGACACCTCCCACACACCACACACATCTATATAATGTATAATTTAATTTGTATGACATTCTCAAAAAGACAAAAAGGAACAGAATACAGATCAATGCTTACCAGGAGATTTAGGCAAGGGGCCATATTAAATTTACAAAGGACCATTAGAGAACTTTTATGGATAACAAAAATGCTATAAATCTTAATTATGGTAGTGATTAATCAGTAAGCATATACAGTATATTTGTCAAAATTTGTTGAAATGCCAAGTGTGGTAGCGCATGCCTGTAATCCCAGCACTGGGGAGGCTGAAGCAGTGGGACTGCCACAAGTTCAAGGCCAGCCTGGACTACACAGTGAGTTTAAGATCAGCCTGGACTACATAGTGAGGTTCAGTGTCAAAAAAAACTTCAAAAACAAAAGTTCACTGAACTGCATATCAATAAATGTGAATTTTTTTTTAAGTGGGAGAACACTAGTATAAAAGCATAGACTAGCCTTGAAAGGATGTTTATTTTATTTTCACTTATCAAACCCTTATAAAATATTCATTGTCTTTCAAACATTATTCACAATGCTGTACAGATATTAACTCATTATGAAAGATGCCCTTCGGATTATGAGAAAGTAAAGTCAAAATTTTTTCCCACTGTTTATACTCTGAATTCTTTCAACTATATATATGTCTTGACTATTACTTTAAAACTTTAAAAACTGCTTTTGCACATTTTAAAAATTGCTGTTGCCACACATACCAAAGATCTTCTTATAAACAAATCAATGTATTAAATTCCTACTTTTATTGGATCTCTCTGAGCACAAAACTACCACCTAGTCATTCTCCATTCCTCTACTATGCAGGTATTCTTTGCGCTTTCTTCCTCCTGTATCCACCCATGTATGAGGTGTGAGTGAAATATATGGTGAATGTTTTACTTTTTAAAATTATTACAGTAAAAGACGCACTGCCTCTAAGCCTCCTCGAAATATTCCCTTACGTCAACACACTTATCCCATCATTGCCACTTTCTGAAGCAGTTCTGGAAGTCTGCTTTTGTGAGTGTCTTTACAAGGTGTGATAAAAATACAATGAATGCTGTGCCGAGTTCTGTCTTATTCACTGGATCTGGCACCATGGGACTTCTGGCTCTTCCTCAAAGTCAAAATGACCAAGGTAAAAGTTTTGAATTGATTCAGGACATCGAGGCAGCCATAACAGCACAACTAAAGAAATTAAAGATTCCCAAAACAGTTTCAGAAGTGGCCAGAATGATGGGATAATTGTGTTTGAAGCAAGGGGGAATGGGTTTTTTTCGGGGGGGGGGGTACTGGCAGTGTATCTTTTAATGTAATAAAATCTTTTAATTTAAACATTCACCATAGTTTCTGATGACACTGCATGTATTGTCTCTACTGACACCTGCCAAGTACATTTCTGGTTATCTCTGCAGTCTTCACCCTCACTTCGCCTCCCTTTTCTACCATGGTCTAAGTTCAAATGTTCTGTATCTCTTAGCTGAACAACTCTAGTTGACTGCTGTCTCCTCTCTACCTTCAGTCTCACTCTGCTCAAATCCATTCTCCACATTACTTAGAGAATTACCTTCTGAAGAACTTTCATGTTCAAGTCTTAAATGATTCCCCAAGCTCTTTACTTTACATAAAAACAGATTTTTCTGATCTTCCAGATTCACCCCATGTTCCCTCAGTTCCAGGATACCATAATTTTTGTTACATGATCAAAATCCCTCACTCTCAACAGTTCAATGGTTGAGTTCCTTGAATGTAAAAACCAAGTTTCAGTCACTTTATCTTCAGTTATAGCTGCCTGGAAGTTAGAGGGTGTGACAGTTAATTTTATGTGTCAACTTATCTGGACCACGGTGCCCAGATACTTCATCACACATTATTCTGGATGGTTCTGTGGGAGAGCTTTTGGGTGAGGTTTACATTTAAATTGGTAAACCTTAAGTAAAGTAGAATGCTGTTCACAATACGAGTGGGGCTGATCTAAAAGATCAAACTCCTTGATCAAGAGGAAATTCTCCAGCAGAGTGTCTTTTTTTAAGCAGCAGACTGTCTTTGGAACAAAACTGTAATTCTTTCTTTCCTGAGTCTCCAGCCAGCCTGCCAGCCTTCTCCACTAGACTATGGACTAGCCAAGCCTCCTTACTCTTTAAAATAAATGTCTCTGTGTGTTTGTGTGTATGTGGAGATGTTGTTTCTGTTTCTCTGGAGAACCCTGACTAATACAGCGGGTATGCAAAAAATGTTTTTCAAATAAATGAAATTAGTGCTATTTTATTGTTTTCTTTTATTTAACTTATAAATAAGTATCTGTGAAGAGATTTATTTTGACACAGTTTTATAAAGCACTCACTAGTTTTAAGTCAATATAAAAGTGTTAAGTTAAAGCAGCATATACACAATTTAAGATCTACAGAAACTTGAACATGTGTTAGGTTTCATATTATAAATACTTTTAAAAGAACAAAATGCATTGACTAGGCAGGTTATAAAAACAAGTGAAATCTCTAGCAATGCTACACAGACAAGTGATTTTTTTATCATTCAAGAGAATCATAGCTGCCTCAAATAGTATAGCTAATTCTTTTAACCAGAAGACTGTTTCTTACTCTAAACTTCAGAAATGAGTTCTAACAAAAAATACAGCTCTGAAACAATCTTTATATGAGAAAGGCCTGATCCAAAGTATATTACTTTTGATAAAAGTAATTATTAAGCTTGTTTTATTATGAATTTTCATACAAATAAAATATTTCATAGAAATAATGTCTACATATACATAGATATCAAAATGATAATGTAATACAAAATAAAATGAAGCCAATTCTTGCCAAGTTATCTATCATGTCCTGAATTCTGGGTTCTCTGCTCTTGCAAGACCTAGGTGTAAATGATGTCATTAACTGCTGCAGAAGAAATAGGGGGTCATGAACACAAGCCTTGGCAAAAACAAATACCCTCTGAGTTTACCTTTAAATTTAAAGTAAATAAAAAATTAGTTTACAGAGTGTCTAATATAGTTCCTCCCCTAATGGAATAAGTCAAAATTTTTATTTCCAATGTTCAGCTACATTCCAGAAATAAATCTAACGGGGCCGGGGATTTAGCTCAGTGGTTCCGCCGTCTGCTCTGCAAGCACAAGGACCACAGTTCAGTCCATGGTACCAAAAATAAAACAAAACAAAACAAAACAAAAAACCCAGAAATAAACCTAACAATCTCTGTTCTTAGAAGACACAAATTAAGACTATGTGTATAGACAAAATGACTAGCAAAAACAACCAATTAATAAATTTTAAAGTATTAAATTGGTATTATATAGAATATGTACAACCACATAACAAATTTTCAGTATCTTTTAATTTTAAGATTACCTTTATTCGCTAATATCTTATCTCACCCCTTAAGTCGATGTTATTTTGTACTTGGAACAGCTATCTTATATATAGTACTGCCTCAGAAATAAATGTTAAAAGTGACATATACTATAATGCCATTTAAGATCAGAATTTGTTAATCACTTTAATTGATAGAAAGCATGCATACATGTAAAGCTTAGTTCTCACCTTATCAAGTTGATCTTGAAGACTAGTAGATGCTTTATAGCCCAGTTGTAACAGCATTGCTTCTGCAGCATTTTTTTTGGCTATCTTTTTATTGGGTCCTGTTCCAGTAGCAACTTCATTGCCTACTTTGACCTGTTAAGATTAAAGAAAGAAATTAATGATAGTTACTTTCATAACTAGAATTCCTTACATTATAAAGCAATGTATTCCATTCTCCAGCATTCAAAAATATAAAATTCAAGGGCCGTGGATTTAGCTCAGTGGCAATGCACCTGCTTCACAAGTGCAAGGTCCTGAGTTCGATCTCCAGTACCAAAAAAAAAAGAAAGAAATAAAATAAAATTCAGTTCAAAGTAAAATAGCAAGTTAAAATACCACTTAGATGATGTTACATACACAAGTGAAAGTATATGTAGAGAAAAACATAGAGAAATGATGCTCAAAATGTCAATGGTGGGTTATCTCAGCATGGCAGACTCTTAGAGGACTTTTTACTTCCTTATACATTTATTATTTGATTTTTTAAAAAAATCATTAAGCCTCTATTACTTGTATAAGAAGAAAAATGTATATTTTAACAGTTTGTGTTCTTTATGACTACATTTAGCTTCTTTATTTCAATTAATAAACTGAAAAGGCTGAAATTCACATTAGTGCAATTTACATTAATCTTCATATTGTATCCCAGGTTTATGAAGATTTATATTACACAGTTCTTGAAGGGAATTAATATACGAGGGTCATGATAATACTGTGTTAAGAATAAAGGTTTCCAAATTAGATTGGGACATGAAACTCAACTCTACTTCCTAGCTAACTATTTAACACCTCTAAGCCTCAGGTTCTTCATCAATAAAGCAAGGGTAACACCAACTACTTATTGCTAATCTATGTAAATCAGTCCTCAATCAATCATAATTACTCAGTAAACAGTGAACTATATCATGGTTATCTTTGGTGAGCAATTTAAACATACATGTGTGATAATATATCTACACATATATTTAAATTTACAATAGCCATCTTATATTCACATGTATATTTTCTTTTTTTTTAGAACACACTTGCAGTAAGTACATAATGATTACATTCATTGTCGGGAGTTGGTCCACATGTACATTTTCTGAGTTTAGTAATTCTGTTTTAGAGATGCATATGCTTATGGTAAGAGATACTACAGATATAAAAATAAAATTAGAAAACTGAAAATCAGAATTACAATAGAAATTCACAAAGAGACAGAGAAAATGCACAACTACTCTATGATTTGTTTTTATACAGTAGTCTCTGTAAATGAAGGGAGAAATAAAGAGTAAAGCACAACTTTGGAAATTAAACAACATAACCCAAATAATCCATGGCTAAAAGAAGATATTGTAATAGAAATTTTAAAAATTTTTAAATAATTATAAAAATATATCAAAACTTGAAGAACACAGCAAAAGGAGAATCTAGAAGAAAATGTATAACCTCAACAGTTTCTAGAAAGGCAAAAAATGATTTACTATCCATCTCAAGAAGTTATAAATTCAGCAGTAAAATAGACCTAGAGAAAATAGAATAAAGACAAGAATAAAAAATTAAGAAAATGGAAAATGAAGTTGTCTTAGTTAACATTTCCTGGCACGGAGACACAATACCTAACACTCAAAACTTTAGGAATTTATTTTGGCTCACGTTTCAGTCCACAGTCAGCTGGCTCCATGGCAGAATGCATGGTAGAGAGGCATGGCAGAGGAATAGCTGCTCCCCTCATTGCATCCTGGAAGCAGAGAGCAGTCGAGGGAGGAGCCAGGAAGAGAGAGATACCCTTCCAGCCACACCCAAAGTGACCAGCCTCTTCCGATGAGAACCTGTCTCCCAACAACAAATCAGCGAAAATAATTCCCTCATAATCCAATTACCTTCCAAACACATGAGGCTTTGTGTGCCATTTAGCTCTAAACCATAACAAAATACAATAGAGAAGTTTAAAAGTCAGAAGTTGGTTCCCTGAAATGAGTAATAAACTAAAGACAGATCAAGGAAAAAAAAAAAAAAAAAAA